GCATTTGCTGGTGTGTTACTTACTTAATTCACTTACGCCTGTTACTCCCAATGGAGCAAAGGCCGCCGACCAGCATTCTCCAACCCACTCTGTCCTGGGCCTCCTTTTCTAATTCCATCCAATTCTTGTTCATCTTTTTCATGTCTATTTCCATTTCTCGGCGTAATTTGTTCTTTGGTTTTCCTCTTTTCCTTTGGCCTTGAGGATTCCATGTGAGGGCTTGTCTTGTGACGCAGTTGGGTGCTTTCCTCAATGTGTGTCCTATCCACTTCCAGCGCTTCTTCCTGACTTCTTCCTCCACTGGGATCTGGTTTGTTCTCTCCCACTGTAGGTTGTTGCTAATAGTGTCCGGCCAACGGATCTGAAGTATTTTGTGTAGACAACTGTTAAGAAACACCTGTATCTTTTGGATGATGGCTTTTGTAGTTCTCCAGGTTTCCGCCCCATACAGTAGAACTGTCTTGACATTTGTGTTGAAAATCCTGACCTTGGTGTTGGTTGACAGTTTCTCCGAGTTCCATATGTTCCTCAGTTGTAAATATGCTGCTCTTGCTTTGCCGATCCGCGCCTTCACATCTGCATCAGATCCACCATGTTCATCAATGATGCTGTCCAGATATGTAAAGGTTTTTACATCTTCCAAATCTTCTCAGTCAATTGTGATTGAATTGGTGCATGCTGTGTTGCATCGAAGAATCCTGCTTTTCCCTTAGTGTATACTGAGACCTACTGCTGCTGCAACACTGTTCGTCTTCTTCTGCATTTGTTGTTGCGTTTGGGATAGAAGGGCTAGATCATCTGCGAAGTCTATACCGTCCAACTGCAGATGTTGACGTCTTCATGATCCAGTCGATCACGAGGAGAAAGAGAAAGGGTGAGAGTAAGCAACCTTACCTAACACCGGTCTTCACTTCGAACGACTTTGTCAACTGTCTTCCATGCACGATTTTGCAGTGTAATCCATCATATGAACTCTGTATGATAGTGACTTTCTTCTGAGGCACGCCGTAGTGTCGAAGAAGTTTCCATAGTGTTGTTCTGTCCACACTATCAAATGCCTTTTCGTAGTCAATGAAGTTGATGTAGAGTGATGAGTTCCATTCAATTGATTGTTCCACAATGATCCGTAGAGTTGCGATTTGGTCTGTACATGATATATACTTACGGAATCCTGCCTGTTGGTCACGAAGTTGGACGTCTACGCAGTCCTTCATCTTGTTTAACAATACTCTGTTGAAGACTTTTCCCCTGTATTGAGAGAAGAGTGATACCCCTGTAGTTATCACATTTGCTGAGATCGCCTTTCTTCGGTATTTTGATCAGAAGTCCTTCTTTCCAGTCTTTTGGTTCTTGTTCCTCATCCCAAATCTTATTAAAGAGAATGTGGAGTATCCTTGCAGTTGCCGCTACGTCTGCTTTCAGTGCCTCTGCTGGAATGTTGTCTGGTCCTGCTGCTTTGCCACTCTTGATGTGCCTGATGGCCATGCTGATTTCTTCAGTTGTTGGTGGGCCAACGTTGATTGGGAGGTCCGTGGGTGCTGCTTCGATGTTGGGTGGGTTCAATGGAGCTGGTCGATTCAAGAGTTCCTTGAAGTGTTCTACCCACCTGTTTTGTTGTTCTTTAATGTTGGTGATTACTTCGCCTTCCTTGCTTTTCACTGGTCGTTCAGGTTTGCGGCGATTTCCAGAGAGTTTCTTTGTCATGTCATACATTTGTCTCATGTTTCCTTCTCTTGCATCCTTTTCCGCCGTCTTTGCTAGATCTTCCACATATTTACGTTTGTCGATTCTGATACTCCTCTTCACTTGCTTGTTTACCTCTGTGTATTCAACTTGTGCCTTGACTTTTTCTGCTCTTGTTCCACTAGTATTGATTGCTGCTTTCTTGTTCCTCCTTTCTTGAATCTTGTCCAGTGATCCATTCCTTGTGATGGTGCTTCTTGTGACCCAGGACCTCATGACATGTTGAAGTGATTGCCTTTTTGACCTCCTTCCAGTTCCTCTCCACAGTATTTCCTTCTCCACTGAGTAGATCATGAAAGGCCTGGAACTTGTTGCTGAGGACTATCTTGAATTTGTTGAGTTTGTTAGTATCCTGAAGAAAGGCCGTATTGAACTTTTGTGATATTGTACGCCCCATTGTCCAGTGCTTTTTGAGTTTCAATTTCATCTTGGTGACCAGCAAGTGATGATCTGATGCTATATCGGCTCCTCTCTTGATTCTCACGTCCTCTATAGTCCTCCTGAACGTTTTGTTGATGCAAATATGGTCGATTTGGTTTTGCGTGGTGTGATCCGGTGTAGTCAATGTGGTTTCGTGAATGCGTTTATATGGGAATATGATGCCACCTATGACCAGTTTGTTGAAGGCACATAGGTTTGCAAATCTCTCACCATTTTCGTTTCTTCCAGTCCATGTCGTCCCATGATGTCTTCATATCCAGTGTTGTCCGTTCCAACCTTGGCGTTGAAATCTCCCATCAGAATGGTCAGGACGATTGACTGCGGCCTGTTGTAGAATTGATCTTTAGCGTCTTCATTGTAATCGTTAATAGGCGCATAGCATTGGGTAATATTCATTGAAATGCCCTCCTTTTTTGTTTTGAATGAGGCTTTGATGATCCTTGGTCCATGAGATTCCCATCCTGTAAGTGCATTTTGTGCTTGTTTGGACAGCATCAGTGCAACTCCTTGTGTATGTGGAGCATTTTCTTCTTCATGGCCGGAGTATAACAGAAGCTCCCCTGAAGTTAGTCGTTGTTGTCCAACTTGCGTTCAATGTGTTTCACTGATCCCAAGCACCTCCAGGTTGTATCTCCTCATTTCTGCAACGATTTGGAAGGCTCTCCCGGTGTCCCACATTGTACGAACATTCCATGTACCTAAATAAATGGTCGCTCTGGTTGTCAGAAGTGGCATCGGCCTCGTAACTTCCGAAGGAATTCGGCTTTCATCATGAGGCGTCATAGTTCTTCTAAATGAAGACGTTCTGACTCCCGGGGCAGAGTTTAAAGGATTTAAATATTTTTTTCTGGTTAGCGCTTTTTAGCGAGTTAGTTTTTACGGGATGGGGACGCTAACCCTATGCCCAACCCTCCTCATTTATCCGGGCTTGGGACCGGCAGTAGCCCCCGGAGGGACTACAGGCGGAGTTTGCTGGTGTGTATTAGATAGAAAAACCAGATCATCTACGAAGTTCAGATTGTCTAGTTGCATCCAAGCTGTCCATTTTATTTTATACTTCCCCTTCAGATGTGGAGGCCTTCATGATCCAGTCAACTACCAGACGAAACAGAAAAGGCGAAAGTAAGCAATTTTGTCTGACTCCAGTGCCCACTTTGAATAAGTAAGTAAGCTGTCCTCCACTCATGACTTTGCATTGTAGTCCGTCGTACAAATTCCGGATTATGTTGACGATTAACCCAGGTACACTTGTGTCGAGGAAGGTTCTATAATGTTCTATTCACAGTCAGATGCTTTCTCATACTCAAGGAAGTTGATTTATAGTGACAAATTTTATTCAATCTATTGTTTAACAATAATCCGTATTGTCGCTATTTGGTCTGTGAACGACCGATCAAACGGAATCCAGCCCGTTGATCCCGAAGCTGGACTTCTACTGAATCTTTCATCCGGTTAACCATGTTTCTACGTACTTCTGTAGGATTATGGTCTACCTCGTTGTGGTTGCGCCACAGGATTGAGCTGTACTATCCAGATTATAGCATAGAAGCCTATACGGTGTTTGGTTCTCTTATGAAGCGGGATTGAACTGTACTGCTCGGTTTATAAAATGTAAGCCTGGGTGATGTCTGGCGCTCCTGCTAAACGGGGTTGAGCTTTACTGTTTGAGTTGTCACGTGAAAGTCCGGATGGTGTCTGGTTCTCCTGAAAACCAATGTAAAATCACCCTTGCCCACAAAGGTATATTGTATAACTGTGAGAACTAACTCGTTATTAACACTGCTCTAGTAATATACCTAACCTTAAAATTACAGATTCCTCATGATGTAACTGTCTAGTCTATAAGATCTTCCGTGAAAATCACTAACTCGTCGTGTCGTAACAATCACCAATATATGATGGAGAACACATTCAGACTTTAGATAGAACAATATATTTGATATGAGTGAAAGCAAGTTGTACAAAGCTACCGCGCCCTCGAGGCTGAGTCATGTCATCCAATAAATTCGAATTAATTGAATTCATCCTACCCACATTCATCATCGTTGGGTTCTTCTAAGCGTTAAATATTAAATATCTATTTTCCCAGTTATTTCGAGTTCAGCTTTGCGAATGGTATGTTTAGAGCCCAGTGCCACTATACTGTTACGCCTGACTTTAGTGCTTTATCTAGTATGCTCAACGGTCCTGCTGTCTTCCCACCCTTCATTTTTCTGATGGCCATCCAGACGCCTTCGTCTGTTAGTGGAGCAGTGGAATTATGGTTTAGTTTGGCATAATTATATTTATCTTTACTAACATAATAATAGACCTAATCCCAAAATTGTGAATGTATCATGATATAAAAGCCTAATATAGAAGACCTTACGCGGAGATCACATAATTATATACAATGACCCGTCTCATTACGAGAATCAACGATATAACGTTCAACACTTCTGAAGAACATATTTAGACTGGGTAAAGAGTAATATGTTTAATACAAAACTTCAAAGGTTTTACATAGAATGACCACGCCTGCATGACTGAACCGTGCCATTTTGATTAACAGTTCCTAAGTTCACGATTATCGACCTACTCCATGCGTTACATATTGAACATCAACCATCCTGGTAATAATTTGATACCATAGATAACCTCACTTAGTGAACAGTTATCACTCAGCCAGTGTGTATCATCCATTGATTACTATAGGAAACATTCACTTAACAGCCAAAGAATTCGTTCATAATAGGTCAAGTAAACAAGGGTTGTTCATTTACTAGTGGTGTATTTCACACTAAAATATACGTAAATATTGTCAGACAGGCCACAGTTTAAGTAACTGAATAAATAAATAACTCACATGTGAATTTACTGTTAACAAGAACAATATCAGCCATTCCAGTTGATAACTGCTCAATATAATCAATAGGTATTCGGTACAGTTTTTTCAATAAAAATTTTTTATTTTTCGTCAATAGCAAGTCTGGAAAATGACAATAAAATATCGTCTTCAAATCAAGAAATATTAATTGCACATGAACTTACCTTGTATCCAAAAGCCCGTAGCAGAATCATAGGGGCTGATATTTGGTCAACAAATGTTACATCTGGTTTCTTTTCATAAAATAATAAATATAGTGTTGCAAGGATGAGGCGAATATACGCACATAAAGCTGTCATGTAACCAAAGATGGAACGAGGAAACCAATCAGCTACAACTGTAACACTCAGATTTGACTGTAATGTTTCCTCGAAACAATGCTTAGGGTCGTGGTGATTTGTAATAATGCTGACATTATAACCACATGACTCCAAGGCTACTGCTGAATCCACTATAAGTCTTTCGGCACCACCTATGCCCAGGTCTGGATGTAGAAATACAATCTGCTTTGGCATTTCGTAAATGACGAAGATTCAAGGGTTTCACAGGAATTTGTATGGAAGCGTAGGACTGGAGTCTGAAAAACGAAATAGTTTGAGTAATGTATTGTACCATACTTGTGATTACTTAATACAATTGTAGGTTAACTTATTTTGATCTAACTCAACAAACAATATACTTGTACTAAGTGCTTGAGCATGTTTTGAGACGACATGATTAAACTTACTTTGACTTAGGATATCATTCCATCATGCAATGCACGTCCGGTGTAACGCAATCGGACGTGTCAAAAGGATGAGACTGATTTATGGACGACCTGCAAATTTTGTAAAATACGTGATGATTCAGCGGCTATAACAAATAAAAAAGGCGAGTTTATAGTCTGTGGACGAATCAATGATGTATAAGACAACAGATCTCGGATTTTGACACGAAAGCTTTTTATCCTTTCGGCTATAGCCGAGAGGCTATGATCCGTCCTAGTATAGGCCATAACTGTTGATTGGAGCTTCTAGATATAGAAAGTCCATGAATATTGATATATAAATTTAAAGAGTCAAAATTAAAAGCACACAACCAAAGCTCAACGTATCTTAGCAGATTGGTTTTCAATCCTAGATGGAAGTAAATCCCACTGCCAATGAACTTTGGTTGAACACTTGTACATGTCTTCAGAACACTCCGGATGTTTTTCGGTATGTCCGGTATAAGGAATCGTAAACCATACAGAACTCGATCAGCATCTCTTATGCTCAGAGATGTATTTGATATTATATACATCATAAAGTCGTTCATCAGCTCTTTGCGATTCATGAACTTCTGAGAGCATAATTTCACTCCAGTACATCCTATAAGAAATATTTTCACGTATGAACTTAATGTACATACCACTATTATCTGAAAGCCTTTGATTGATGTTGGTAGTGTATGGCGTAACAGTAGCAGTACCGTCATTACAACTGATTTCTCTCTTTACTTATATCAATTTATTAAACAGCACTGTTGAACTCAGTTACCTTTTATGGTGCTTTCATTAGCAAACTCACTGAACGAAATAAAGTCATGCTTTTTCATAAAAGCGGCTCGCATTTCAGTCCACCTTCTGTTATAAGTGGTTCTATAACAGCCAAAGGTACGTGACAAGTTCATAGTGACCCTATGTCTACGAACATTCTCACTGATTTCAATGAAACTCATATTAATGAACATGAAAGTCGGAGAGCACATCACTCACCTCTATCACAATTGATTGATCACTGGGTGGTGATCAATGTCTTGCTTGTCTAGTCCTTATTAGTGCAGATCGAATGCTATCGATCATGTTGCAATGTGGCCGTCAGTCTAGGTGACTCGACACTGCGGGCACTATGTATTAAGATTTAGATGGTGGTTGGAGGTAGTCAACAGGAAACCCTGGACCCGGGTTTCGTGCTATTTGGCACTCGTCAGCAAGGTGTACCTGTAATCTTGAGGGAACTGGTGCTCCCTGGCGGATTCGATCTCGTGCCACCCAGCTTCACAGTCAGAGAAGTTACCACCACTCGGATAGCTCAGTGGTAACGTCTCTGACTGTGAAGCTGGGTGACACGAGATCAAATCCGCCAGGGAGCACCAGTTCCCTCAAGATTACAGGTACACCTTGCTGACGAGTGCCAAATAGCACGAAACCCGGGTCCAGGGTTTCCTGTTGACTACCTCCAACCACCATCTAACTCATTTCTATCACTTAAGTTTTTTGTGATGGCTCCAAAGCATGTTGGAACACCTTAGCTAAACAAAAACGAAGTCAGTGCATATGCGTCTCACCCGAATGCCTGGTGCAGTATTTCGTACCTTGTTTTTATGACAATAGCTTTGTTTTTTTATTAAGCGGTGCCTTAATTTGTCCACGTTTACGAAAAAGTTAGATCGGGACACGGTATATGCAAACACTGTATGTTACGTATAATTGTTGACAAATTTCCCCCAAATACACGCCGTAAGGGGGAAAAATCGATATTTCCCCTAAATAACCGCCGTACAGGCGTAAAAGCGACATTTCTCCTTGATTCGCCTTTATTTTCCCTTTATTGGTTGCTTGAGTATTTAGCCGAATCCATGGATTTATCATTAACCAAGATGTATTGTCCTGAATGATGCTGCAATTTAATTCTGAGGCTTCAAAAATTAAAAACGTATTACACTCATGACAATTTATTAACACTTCCTGATGGACGAGGTCAATGCACTAACCAACAGATACTTACTGCATAAAGTACTATGTTTGCGACAGCCATTGAGAAATGATGTCACACTCCCTATTGGAATGTATTCAAAAGTGGAGTATTAACCTCATAATTTTATGTCCGTATACCAATGCACTTGCAAAGAATGTCTGTCAGCCTAATTCTCGTACATCTGTTCGTTTATTGAAAGATGAATGGCTAGAGACATTTCTGAAATCACACCGCCTATAAATTCATCAACAACTGTTAATAAATAAAGCTGGACTACCGCCGGCTGTGGTGTTAGAACACTGGAAGTAACTACATGAAGCAGTGGCTGTATCTGAGACAGTATTGTTACACTGCCCTGTAGTTGCGGTGGTTCCTACTTCTGTGACGACAACTGAATTGTCGTTCTCTTTGTCACTGCTTGTTAACTTATGCTTATTTATGAATTCAGCTCTTAACTTCCGCAACCTTCTGTAAAAGGTTGATCTGGAACAGACCATCAACCTCAAGTGTCTGGCGGCTTGGGCCTGCCTTTTAGCAATCCTATCGAGCTGTAAATTATTATTCTGGAAGAAACAATTAACTTAAGTTAGATCAAACAAAAACAGTGATGGAAGTTCTGGACAGTAAAATAATCCACCTGCATGGCGTGAGAAATTTGAAAGAGTGATTTAAAGCCGATAACTGATTGTCTCGTGTCTGTTTGGCGTATGAAAACAAAACCTGAAATTAAATAGACTATTCGTGACCAAAAGTCGTTTTTTAATTAAAATTAGCACTTCCTAATTGTAATTGAATAATTTAAGGTTTAATAATCCAATAGTGATGTAATCTTAGTGTGGAATAATGCATCTTTTGGGGAAAGTTTTTGCGAACTTATGATGGCTCCAGAGGCCGACTATTTACTAGCCATATGGATGATTTCATCTACCTTATGCATTACGATTTAAAAACCTCTAAACCTCTTTCCAACCTTGACAAGTTTTTGAACCACGTATAAGAAGTGTATCCACTTTATTTCTTTGGCTTTGAATGATATACTTTTACTCTGAATTCACTGCGTGCTGATTAGCTAACATTTCCCAAGGTCACTTAAGAGTCGTTCAAAGGTCGTCCATAAATCAGTCTCATCCTTTTGACACGTCCGATTGCGTTACACCGGACGTGCATTGCATGATGGAATGATATCCTAAGTCAAAGTAAGTTTAATCATGTCGTCTCAAAACATGCTCAAGCACTTAGTACAAGTATATTGTTTGTTGAGTTAGATCAAAATAAGTTAACCTACAATTGTATTAAGTAATCACAAGTATGGTACAATACATTACTCAAACTATTTCGTTTTTCAGACTCCAGTCCTACGCTTCCATACAAATTCCTGTGAAACCCTTGAATCTTCGTCATTTACGAAATGCCAAAGCAGATTGTATTTCTACATCCAGACCTGGGCATAGGTGGTGCCGAAAGACTTATAGTGGATTCAGCAGTAGCCTTGGAGTCATGTGGTTATAATGTCAGCATTATTACAAATCACCACGACCCTAAGCATTGTTTCGAGGAAACATTACAGTCAAATCTGAGTGTTACAGTTGTAGCTGATTGGTTTCCTCGTTCCATCTTTGGTTACATGACAGCTTTATGTGCGTATATTCGCCTCATCCTTGCAACACTATATTTATTATTTTATGAAAAGAAACCAGATGTAACATTTGTTGACCAAATATCAGCCCCTATGATTCTGCTACGGGCTTTTGGATACAAGGTAAGTTCATGTGCAATTAATATTTCTTGATTTGAAGACGATATTTTATTGTCATTTTCCAGACTTGCTATTGACGAAAAATAAAAAATTTTTATTGAAAAAACTGTACCGAATACCTATTGATTATATTGAGCAGTTATCAACTGGAATGGCTGATATTGTTCTTGTTAACAGTAAATTCACATGTGAGTTATTTATTTATTCAGTTACTTAAACTGTGGCCTGTCTGACAATATTTACGTATATTTTAGTGTGAAATACACCACTAGTAAATGAACAACCCTTGTTTACTTGACCTATTATGAACGAATTCTTTGGCTGTTAAGTGAATGTTTCCTATAGTAATCAATGGATGATACACACTGGCTGAGTGATAACTGTTCACTAAGTGAGGTTATCTATGGTATCAAGATACAGTACATTTACCTGGTAGAATCAACTGCATCATTAGCATGGAGCATGTATGTGCGTCTTCTTAGTCTAGCATCTGCTTTCTGAGAAAAATACCTTATTATTGTCACATCTAAGTACAGTTAAAACTAAGAGTTTTCTCCCAGATATCAGTTTGGTGTTTTCTTCTTACAGTTCTCCAACTTAGATGTTTGATATAACACAACCTAAAGTAACAAGTGCTCCAACTTATATAAGTCGTTTAGGCCATCATAATATAGAAGCCAATCATCACGTCAATGTAACAGCTGTTGCTGGGACGTAATTTGTCATGACTCAAATTGGCGGGGGTGGGCGATAGGGTAGTATCAACCGTAGTTGGGGATATCAACTTGAAATCTTAATAATTGTTCATTTCCGTCCATAGTCTTTACTAAGTAATCCTTGTAACTTTAATATTTCTAATCTCACTAGTTTTTTGTCGATGTTACTTAAGAAAACATTTCGATGTAGTAATTCTTAAGGAAACGACAGGTCTTTCATGGTGTAGGGATTATTAAAAACCTCAAGTTAAATCACTAGGACATATAGTGATTATTAATTCAGAAACGTGGAAACCTATCGTGTAGTTATTAATCAGTAAATTAAATCACCTACGATAAACAGATTCATGTACTTGGAGCCATACTAATCGTGTTGAATGTTGGTAGTAGTACCCATCGATTGCCCAAACCAAGTTAGATAAGGGCAAACTTCAAATCTTCAACATCTTAGTTAGAAGATAAAGGGTTTTAATCAATTAAGGCACCAGTCCATTTTTAAAGTTAATCTGATTATCGATTTAATTTCGTAACCGAGTTTAACGTAAAAAGATTAAGGATTTAACTTATCATCTAATGTGAGTAGTTCATATCAATGTTCTACTTTTTTTAATTACTTAAACTATTCTGTTGTCTTCAACTTCACTGTATCTTACGTTTTAAAATTACTTTATGAATACAGTAATCTAAAGTGCTCTTAAAGGTATGATGGCAGTTTTCACTTTCCAGTAGCTCACACTGTGTAAGGGTTTCGTTTGGATGTTCTTGAAAAAGAAAATGTGTTAGGGGTGGTCTTCGTGACCTGAGAGCGTGACCGCAGTGCCCAAGGGACAACTGCTTAAGGTCGGTCACACATGACCTTTTCGTGAATATTTTTCGTGTTAGCTCCGTATTTATTGGAACCTTACCACCGAGGATGGAAATCCATGGAATAAGGCGAGATGTGCATTTTTAGGGTCGATCTTTTCTAACCTCATCCCTCCTTATGGGAAGGCAGCATCGCTGTTATGCTGGTTGTCTGAAGGAAACACCTTACTGCCGTCACACCTCTATACAGTCGGCAGTATGACTTCGCCCTCAGACCTTGAATTTATTGCTTTTAGTCTTACCGCTCCTCAACCGACCTGTCTGACATGATAGGACCTTGAGAAACGATTGTTCTAGCCAGTATAGCTCGATTGGTTCGTCACGATAGGCAAGCCCGATCACCACAACAAGTTAGCAACAACGTCGGGTTATGTTATAAATTCAACTTCTATATGGTTTTTGTTATTTTATTATTTGAACACAAACATTGGTGCAAGGGGCACTAAATACATATGCGCTACACAATAACAATGAGGACAATAACAGTTATCATTGATTTATGTGAGGGCTGGGACACTGCCCGGGTACCGAAACCGTAGCAGGTAATTTTCTTAGGGAGCCACACCCGGAGCCTTCGACCTGAAGGTCTAATCCATAACGCAGCGTATCAACGTAAGGAGATTCAGTCCCCCCATGGTAGCCGGCGACCAACAATTGGTTCATACGCTAGTTGTTTCCTTAGGATCCTGGAGCCCATGTGCACCATTGGTTTGGAATCCGATTAAAACTCCGGACATTCGCTTTTCGTCCTCTCATTTTCGTAAACAACAGCAATGACACTAGCAAGCAATGAGTAGGACTTCCCTGACAGAGGCTATATACGCGTGGCCATGTGAGAGCATTTCGAGAGGGAGAGCGAACTCTCCCCACTCTCGCCCTACCAGGGCATTTGGGGGCATGATTTCCTGTCAAATATGCTTAGTTGATCAAATAAATTTGGACCATGCGTATTATTTTGTTCTTAGTTGTCTAGCGTCTATTTTTTCTGAAATATTTACTTTATTATTATTATTATTAAACTCCAGCTAATGTCTTTAGAGAAACATTTACTTCACTTAATCACGTACAACTGCGTATTTTGTATCCAATTGCAAATGAAAAAAGTTTATGCTTACCAACATCAGCACAATTTCAAAGTGATCATCAGTCGAAATATGAATATCGTAAATATTTATCTTCAGAAACTATACCTGAGAAAGCGAAAATAATATTCGTATCAATTAATCGATATGAAAGGAAAAAGAATCTCTCATTGGCTTTGTACAGTCTTGGTAAGTTTTTAATCTTTTCTCATAGTTTATTTTTCTTATCCCGTCTACTAATCCTAATCATCGCAAATTAAGAAAAGTCATTTGGATAACTGGACACATTAGAATCTGACTAACAGAAGTCGAATTTGTATAATGAGATGAGAAGACGAAGGTTATCAGAATTATGTGACATATTTGTGCTATACATTTCGAACAATATGATCACACATATTATGTATGAAAATAGAAGGTCAACCAAATTAAATAGTAAACGGAAATAAAGATAATAATAATAGTAATGATAAAGTACACAAAACAATGTCAAAACTACGCTGGATGATAAGTCAGTATTACCAGGGTAGGTTATGGATAAGAGAAGATTGTTTTCAAACACATAAAGGATGTTCTCGTTTTCGTATAGCCAAGGCTTCAATAAACCCTAGTATACGCCCTTGAGAACCTTTGTATCAAACTACAAAGGCTGACCTGATATCAACCTTATAGCTGATCTCAACCAAATATTTCGCAATGGAGGAAGATATTTGTCTATTTTGTGACCTTATTTTACCATTGGGATTCATTTGTTTTTGTAGCCATTTAAGTATGTGTACAATAAAATTAATTTAGATTGAACAAGACATTTTTTACTGTATTATGATAAACCACGAAGAACAGATTAATCATTTACGTCAAAAGCAGTCAATTCTTAACTTGCTTAAATGGAATACTAAGAGATGTACACTTATGAATCCACAAAGAGTATTAGTTTGCTCAAGATTGGAGATACACCTCGTTTTCTAATCTGTATAATAACTCCATACAAAGGTAGCATCCTTCCTGTTCAAACTAAATTCACATATTTCAGCACCCTTAATATAACTATCTCTATTCATTTCGGGACGTAATAAAGTGTTAAAGTCTTCCATATTGTATTTTTTTGTAAACTTTTGCAACGATATTTTCTTCACTAAAAATTACGCTTTAATCTATATATCGAGATTTTTGCATTAAAATAACTGTATTTTTACTACTGAATCAGAACAAAAAAATGTCATGAAACACTGTTGACCGAATGACTTCATCAAGTTTTATTTTATTGAATTTTCAAATATTAATCCGTCAATTGATATAGCGGATTCTTTCAATACTAATTATCATTACATATGGCTTCGACTATTGAATAATTACTGTTAAAATCTTGAAAATGACTGTCTAGTTAAACAAAATATTGCTTTAGTAAGTTATGTTGTACTCAAATAAATCTTCATCTCGTGCTTCACTCTTCACGCTTATTTACTTACATCTGTTACTCTTCTTGGGCCATACGCCAATGACTGGGAATCTGAAATCAACCTCATCCTGGGCTCCTTATTCCCGGTTTTTGTCAAGTCCTGTTGATGCTCTCCATGTCTGTCTGGGACACGTGTTACGTATGCCCAACGACCGACTGCCTCGACGTGCGATGTTCAGTGGTATAGGAGTAGATTGGAAGAAAGCTAGGGGCGGCCAGACCAAAACATGGCACAAGTCCATGAAGTCACTGACAAGTGGTCTGAGTCATGTTGATAGGTATCGACTACCTGGTTGGGGACCGCGAGATGATAGCAACCGATGGTTAGAGACCCTGAATGACATGGCTCAAAATCGTTTGCAATGGCGCAGGTGCATCCACTCTCTATGTTCTCCCAAATTCTAATCTTCTGAATTCTTCATGTCCCTTTTTTCCTCTTTCCAAATTTATTTCACTGAATTATACTCTTTAAATAACATCTCCAAACCCTAATCTTCCCGATCACTGCTTACACTCTTGCTACCTCTACCACTACGGGATTTGAATCGACAACTGCATCTCTGTGTTAAGGTGGTGTGGCAACTCGAACTGATGTACGTACGTACGAAGTTCTACGTTGTTACTGACTGACTGACTGATGTCTGTTTCCAATTCTCGGTAGATTGTGTTCTTTGGTCTACCTCTTGTCATTTCGCCTCGACGATCCCAAGCTGGGGTCTGTTTTGTGATATATCTCAATGATTTCTTTCAGAGCGTCTTATCTGCTTTTATAGTCTTTCTCTGATTTCCTCATCTGGAAGCTGAGTTGTTCTCTGCCGCGGTAGGCTATTGGTGACTAGCCAATAGATCCGGATTATTTCGCGTTGACAGCTGCTTATAAATACTTGTACCTTTTTGATGACAAGTATGTTAGTTCGCGAAGCTTCAGTTCCGTACAGTGAAACTATCTTGACTTTCGTATTGAAGATTACGACTTTGATCTTGGCTGACAGTTCTTTTCAGTTTCAGGATTGTTGACCTTGCTTTGCCTATCTGTATCTTCACATCTGCATCATGCCCTTCCTGTTTATTAACGACACTGCCCAGGTACTTAAAAGTCACTTTCAAATTTGGTTACTGCTCGTTATCTTGCAGTACTGAGTTGCATTCAACTGTTTTTTCATCGGTGGTCCGTAGTGCCGCGATTTGGTTGATACGATAGCCAGTCTGTTGATCTCTAAGTTGAGCATCTACTATATCTTTTATTCAGTTCAAGGACACTTGGAAACTTTTCCTAGCACTAACAATGACGTGATGCCTCTATAATCCTCACGCGTATTAAGATCTTTTTCGGTATATTGATGAGGTATTCCTCTTTCCAGTCTGTTGATACTTGTTCCTCCTTAATCTTTCTGAATAGGACGTGGAGCAACTCCGCAGTTACCGTTATGTCTGACTTAAGTGCTAGTATGTCATATAACCCTGCTTCTTTCCCACTCTTGATTTGTCTGATGGCCGAAATTTTATATTAAGATAACATGAGTAACAGTAGTGCTAAGAATAATAACGACTTAAAAATATTTAAATGTATATAACGTTTTTCAATTGTTTGATCGAAAGAGTACACAACAATCATGTAGGAAACAGTGTATTCTGGCAGTCAACGCATTCTGAGAGATATGTAGATTTCAAGTTAACACATATCCTTTTGGTGAAATTCGCGATTGCTATAAACTTGAAAAATAGAAGCACTAACCTTGTTATAGAGGCTGAAAACACGCAGATTGACTTAAATTCAATGTTGTATATAAATGATTGCTCTGAAGAGTTTCTGAAAAAGATCATGGAAAATGTGTTTACAGAGAGAATGGAAGAACACTATAGTCGTTCTGTTTTTTAAAGAAGCATCGTAAGAAATTCAAAAGAATTTTAAGTAAACACGTCACAAAAGTTTATTTTCGTGCTAGTGATGCTATTATGTTTACATGAATGAAAATTACAGATAGGTTATTCAAAGAAGAACAACAAAATTATCTCAAATTAATACTGTATTTGTGCGAGAAAAATCCATACAGAGGAATGTAAATGTAAAGAAACATAGACAATGTTTGAAACATGTTCGCGAATTCCAGAAAGATCAAGAGATCCGAGAACAAATCGGCATCTGCACGATAGACGTTAAAAACATGACACAAGGTTGAATTTGGAGCAACTAAGAGCACCCAAATGCCCTGGTATGACCGAGGGTAAGGAGAGTCAGCTCTCTCTCTCCAAATGCTCTCACATGGCCACGCGTATACAGTCACCGACAGGAAAGTCCTACTCACTGCCTCGCGGCGAGGTGCTGCTTACGGAATTGAGAGGACGAAAAGCGAATGTCCGGCGTCTTAACCGGGTTAGTGGACATGGAGAGTCCACCTAGAGGAGTGGGTTGGAGGACCCAGATTCCAAACCAGTGGTGCACATGGACTCCAGGATCCTAAGGAAACAACTAGCGTATGAACCAATTGTTGATCGCCGGCTACCATGGGGGTACTGAATCTCTTTACGTTGATCCACTGCCTTGTGGATTAAACCTTCGCCTTCTACGGTTTCGGTACCCAGGCAGTATCATAAATAAATAAATAACCAAAACTTCAGGGACGTTCTGGCTGTCATAAAGGAAGGCTAACGGTCCAAGCGTTTCATGTCTGGACAAGTCGGAATAGTATGGTCAGAATGGATGGAATACAGTTAGCTACATTCTGGAAGTTGTTGTTTAACAAGTAAAAGCACGATCCGTCTATTCTTAATCAACCTATACTTCGACCAACTTAACTTTTATGCAACTTTGGTTGTATAGTCAACTAAACGATTATTTTGTTCCTGTCCGCGGTCAATGGCTTCATACACCCACTGAACTCTAAGAACAGTAGCACGTATGCACATTCATGTTTTAAATCCTATTTGTCTTTGATTATATTCCCTAAGTAGCTCGAATGAATTTTCTAGAGGAAACAAAAGTGTTTGAATTCCAGTCGATATTATTTCAAATATCATTTCTCTACATAGTATCATCTGTGTACTTGGCGCGCAAATTTTGATAAATATCCATTTTGTTTTAATTATTTTTCCCACTTGTTAATTTCTTCATTATATTATAACTATTGCTCAATGTTGTAACGTGCAACTGTCACTATTTTATTAGTTTTGTCATTATTTGATTACAAAAAATAACTTACACTAAGAAAAAAAACTGTTCTTTTGGACTTTTGTTATTTGTACACAATTTTCTTTACATAGAATACTTGATCACACATTGGGATCAGCTTATTGATTCAACCGTTGAAATAAAACCGGAAAATGTTCATCTAATCATAGCTGGAGGTTATGATCGTCGTGTTATTGAAAATGTAGAGTATTATACCGAATTGGTTAACTTGTCACAAACGCTGAAAGTATGTGAATAATGACAAATACTTTTTTTCTCTCTAATTAATTACATTTTAGCTTTGACTGAGTTCAAAGCACTTCCCAGATTGTTTTGCTTTGTAACTCATCGGATATAGATTTATGTAGTCGGATTTGAGTTACACTCTGTATGTGAGAGTCAGTGATACTACTCTGATTGCTCAAGTCGGGTGGAAATGAAACTCGTGCTCTAATAGTAGCAAGTTAAACTTCTTATTTCTTTATTTTATTTTATCACAGATATTGGTACAAGGAGGCACCAAATACATATGTGTTACACATCTCATTTGATGTGTGAGGGCTGTGACACTGCCCGGGTGCCCGAATCGAAGCAGGTGGTTTTCTTAGGGGGCCACACTCATAGCCTTCGACCTGAAGGTCTGGTCCACAAGGCAGTGTAGCATCGTAAGGAGACGCAGTCCCATGGTAGCCGGTGACCAACGATTGGTTCATACGTAATCTATTTTTTCAGAATACTGGAGCCCATGTGCACCATTGTTTTGAAATCAAGGTTTTCCAACCAACCTCCCCAGGTGGACTCTCCACGTCCACCATTCCGGTTGAAGCGCCAGACATTCGATTTTCGTCCTCAATTTCGTAAACAACAGTAATGACATGAGAAAGCGATGAGTAGGACTTCCCTGGCAAAGGGTATATACGCGTGGCCATGTGATAGCATTTCAAGAGGGAGAGCGGACTCTCAGCCGTACCAGGGCATTTGGGGACAAACTTCTTAACCATTTATTCACTTCCCCGACTACCAGTCCATGGAGGACTTGACAAGTGGACTGAGCCATGTTAAAAGGTGTAGACTGTATGGTTGAGTTCCTCGTGACCAATAGTTAAAGATTTTGAATGACATGGTTCGAAATCGTTTGCATTAATTCAGGCACATCAGTTTTTCTGTTTCCCACTACATTCTAAGTTTTCGAATTCCTCATAACTTTTTTACTTCACTGATTTATATTTCCTTAAATTGTATCTTCCATGCCTAGTCCTTTCTGTTAACATGAATATTGTTACTAACCCTACTACTCTGGAAATTGACCTGACAATTTCATCTTTCTGTGCTAGTGGTGTGTGACAACTTGAGCCGATGTAAATACGTGACAGGCTCTATGTTGCTTTTGACTGACTGACCTTCAATAGCCAGGTTTTTATCAGATTAACGGATTTAAATTCTATGTCATCGCAATTTTGCTTATCGTTCGTCATCAAAACATGCATTTACACGCTGAAATACAAACCCACACATCACTTAAGTTACGACACAGGTCTTCCTGCAGAACTGAACGACATCATGCATACTGCTCAAAAAATGTTTCCAGATTCCATCCCGTTAACAAATGTCGGGACATTACAAAATTGTAGGCCGTTTACAACTCCCGGTTGATAAAACTCGGGCATTGAACACAAGTATGTCTTATGTTTCAAACGTATTGATTAAGATAAGTTTCTATCAGCCATTAAAATCTAAGGTGTATACACATATCAATTACTAGTGTGTTAGAGTGATTAACAGCTTGTATATTAATCCATAGCATAACTTCTTTTCGTGACTTGAAACATTGGTGATCAAGTCATACAACACTAATCTTGATTTCTGTCTTGCATTATGTTGTAATTATTTATTTGGTCAGATAATTGACTCTTCAAATCACAGTTCTGATTCACTTTTCGTTAGTTCAAGGTTTAGTATTGAAGAAAATTCTTACTATTCGATTGCTAAATACTCTTGGTTAACTTGGTATAAGTATAGATGTAGTAGCAAGTTAATTATCCAATTAATTGTACTTATGATCTGGTGTGTATTTCATACTTCTTTGGTAAATGTGGTTTAAATCAGTAAAAGATGGAGCTTAGTTTATGTGATTTCCCACCTTCGACTATCATCCGTTAAACTACATATTTATATATGAGTGAAGGAATAGGAACAATAAATTCTAGATTGACTAGAAGTCTAGTATTTAAAAATGTCATACATACTATGATTCATATTTATTGGTATAGGGGGTTTGTAGAGTTGACATAGTTAAACCACGAACTGACCTTAGCCGAAGCACCATTGAAAACGTGGGGGCACTGGGCGGCCGTTCGGGGCCCCTCAGTAGTGTGTCTATGGCTCCATTAAAAAGGGTCAAAACCAGGAGTTTCGATCTCAAGTATTTCGAATATTAGAAACATTTATCCACTGAAGGTAATTGAAGGTGATTCACACTTAGAAGATAACGAATTTCGAGACATAATAGTTGTAGGTCAAATAACATGGTTCTACCTCAGCAGTTTCGAGGAGACTGAACAGTTTCTGTCCAGCACCAACTTCCGATAGTCATCCTCAATGGGATAATCAGCACCCTCCTGCAACTCAAATCTACATTCAGATTGATAATATTGAAATCAACCACTTATGGGATGGACTTATACAAGGCATCCTCTCTTGGAGCACCTATCTGGATTTGGACTATGTTCTGATATGCGCCAAACTTGATTTTTGTTTGTGTGGTATTTGGTTCTGATATTGATACAAAAGCTTTCTATATGGAAGCCCAAATGGCTACCTGAGTGAGAGGAAAGCTTCATTAGCTAAATCTAATGAAGAGATGAATGTACACTCACGTATATATGTTTGTCTCTTAAAAGTTTATGCCATGTGCCAAACCAATGGCGTATCTCGTGTTGTAGAAAAGTAAACCAAGCATTCTACAATAGCGTGTGCTTACTGGCTGATGTCTGATTGGGCCATTGTATCGATTCGCCAGCGAATGTGTCGTCCTAAACAGACCGAACCTTGTATCTCAATTAGATATTAAACCGACCTAGATTGAAAACTAGCTATCAGTTAATCGAAAACCGTGTTTAGCGAATTTACTCAGAATTAATGTGTTAAATAAATACAAGTACTGAAAAAATAATGAAATGTTTTTTGTGTTGTAATCGTTTAAATAAAGTCGTCGAATTAAAGAAATGTAACGTTTAATCAGTAATAAATTGAGCAAATTTTTGCAGGTTTCAGAAAATGTCACTTTCATGTGTTCGTGCTCATCCGAAATCAAACCTCTGTTAATTGCCTCCAGTGATGCGGTAATTTACACCCCAGATAAGGAACATTTTGGAATTGTCCCTATTGAAGCAATGTCGTTGTCTCGAGCAGTTATTGCATTGGATTCTGGTGGTCCTAAAGAAACTGTTTTGCATGGTTCTACAGGATTTCTATGTACGGTGCACCCAATAAAACAACTTCCGCAAACTATGGCTACCTATCTTAGCAAGTACGCTTCATATATTTTTGTTGATGGAATGACCAAATAATTTTGATATTTATTTACAAACGCGAAGTAGATGATAACCAATTATAACGAGGTAGACATTGCTATATTGAATGCGTAAAAATCTTCACGGACTGGATGTGGCGCTATTCTGCTGTCAGCGTTTGTACTATGTAGTCCTTAGATTACAAATGTTTGTCAAGCATCATCGGGAGCGGAGACAAAGGCTCCCAAATCGCCGTACCTGAGATATCTTCTGCTCGGTTTCCATGCAATTACATTTAAAATAGAGGTATACAAGAATGACTGAAATTGATTAGGGTGGATTCATTGCGCTAATTATGGTGAAACATAACAAGGTCAAGTGATGTATGTGCTTCCATCTAGACTACTCATCTGAAATTGGGGAACTGTGTGTTATATAAATTAGAAGCCTACTTTTCTTACGGTTTGTCCTAAATACATTGAATGCAGCAAATGTATTGAAGTATGAGTTAGCGTAAAAATTTAGAAAAAGTCACGAAGTCTGCGATACCCCAAAAACCAATACTCGATAAACTGATACTAGAAATTGATTCGGTCGCTCTTTACAACCTATTCTTATTCTGGCCACTACATGTTTTGACCATCTGAGTAGATGTTCACGGCTTATTTATTTAAACACATGAACATCGGTACAAGGAGGCACCAAATAGATATGCGTCACAAATTATTTTGGGTACTCGAGTAATGCCATCAGCTTTCAGGAACTTCAGATCTGAGTATTTGAGTCTGTGATTGGTGTTCCATATATATTACCTTGTCCTCCCAGGGGCCTTGATTCATGTCTGCTGATTAGCACTAAGTTATTTTTTCAATTAAACCCAGGTAAGCTATTTCATCGACTTTGTTAGTCTCCCAGCAACTGGAATGGTCTACGGTTTTGACTACACTTTAAATTGTCAAGTTAAGCACCAATACAGAATATGTAATCACTTAAATAACTATTGTACTTTCGTATGGATCGTTTTAGTTCAATTGAAAAACAAATTTTATGTGATTTTGAGGTTTGGAGGATGATAATACAATTCAAGGACTACGACAAACTTCAAAACAACTGATAATCATTCGCAAATCGACTTTAATTATTCTAGCACTAAATAATACCTTTCTGTTTTATTCAAATTCGCTAGGCTCTAAAAAAATAATTGCGTTTATTTCAGATTTGTAAATGATCCAGAGCTTGCAGATCGTTTGGGGAAGGCAGGATGTGAACGTGTTCGTGAGAAATTTTCATCTACAACTTTTAAAAGAGAATTGCAAACAATCGTGTCTGATTTAATAAGTGAAGACCAAGGATGGCAATAGTTGTTTACATGCAAAATTATTTGATTCATTTTTCCTCAAATATTTAGTTGTTTTTTATTGCAAGGCAGAGTAAATACCTGCAGTGTTTCCATGTACTTAATTTTGGTGAAATGCTGTTTATCAGAACTTTTTCACTGGACCGTTTACTTGTATTGGTCAATATACATTTACACTTAGGTAATTTTCATCCTACTGTACAAATGAAGAATACAAGTAACTCTAAATTTCAAATGTTGTTAGTACGAATCACAACAGCATACACGTTTTGATCTATCAAATAATATAAACTATGTAAAACACATACCAGATTAGTCAGTTGTATTTGATGAAAGAAAAGTAGAAAAATATGAACTGAAAGTTAGTTTTCTGTAGACCGATGAAAATGGCTTAGGTTAAGGTCGTTCATGAGGTTCTTATAGTGATCATGACTCAAAAGAACAGATTCAAGAAATGTTTGTCGGTTGAGATTTGTGTGAAATTATTAGAAATTCTTTAGGAAACCATTATTTCAGCTGATGATTCTTTCAAGTTGGGAAGTATATTTTCCTAAAGTGTGTCAGATTAAAGCAAATCGAACTCACCATATCATAGATAACACGCACGTAAAGAGAACAGCTTGGACATCGTGCTATATCATCACCACACAATAAATCCTCCTACAGAACGAATAACTTAGGACTGTATGAAATAATCTAACCTTGGTAATTAAGAATCGATCACCACACGGACAAGGGTAGGAATACGTTTCGGATTCTTCATCATACTCCATATCCTCGATCTCTATTTCGTCATGAAATACAGACATCACTGATCAAATGACCATCGATGATTCTCGAGAGCGATTGTGTTATGAATGAGATTGAACGAATATGTCTAAGTAACTAGTTAAAAGTGTAGTCTGAAATAATTTAGATGGAATTTTTTAGGTTTCTGATAGTAGCTTAAATAAACTTTTTCAGCAAGTAGTACAGTCAAATCACGTGTAAATATTTTCGGGCTCATGCAATGATCGCAAACAATACTGATTAATGAACATAAGCAAAAGGGGGGAGTAGCGATAAGCAATGTATGACAGGTTTACATACAGCCGCTAGTCGCCAATGTTGACGCAAAGCCCATATTTCTTAATTTCCGACACCCATTTCTGCTGGGGGCAACCTCGATTACACTAATGTTAGGAATGGACAGTACCTATCGAGGCACTATGCAAAAGTGGTTCCATAGTATGAGGGATTACTAGGGAGGATGAAAAAGGAAGGAATTCTACGAGTCGAGTTAGCTTTTCCTCATTATGTTAATAAGAATACATTCGTAATATGCTACAAGACACGCAACAGAAGCGGCTGAAAACGCATGTGTGCGTTGTGTATCAATCTCTCTGAGTAATACTTCATCATAGATCTACTGATGGAGATAACGTTCTCGTCGACTGCATTCTTGAGTATCGATCTTCCAGGAGGTCCACTCATCAACTTACAATACGCAGATGACATAGTCCTGTTTTGTGAAGACGCTGACAAAATGCAGTCTTCTGGTAGCACTAAGCAACAATACCAGAATGTTTGGAATGCACTTCTCTCCCTCTAAATGCAAGTTGTTGCTTCAGGACTGGTCTGCGTCAACACCTGAACTAAGGATAGCGAGTGATGTAGTCGAACGCGTCTCCTACATCATATCTTATTCCGTTTCGTCTAAACATCCCCCTAAATCGCTGTTTTACCCGTGAAGAATTTCTTCAATTATCAGCTTGAGCGCTTAGGCTAACTTGGCAATCATAGCTAATATGCATAACGATCGATACACTAGCATCTGTCAGCTATTCATAATGTTGTACAATAAGACGTTTTTTCTTTTCAATAAATTTATTTCGACATGTACAGTTTTTAACATCGATTGCAGTTACCGTGTGGTTTATTATGGAAATAAAGACGAATACATGAGACGTTTGAAGCTAGGCCAAAGGTGTGTTAAAAATTGAAGTGAAGTTAGACAAATCCCCGATCACCCAGTTTTGGGGAAGCCACCCATAGTACTATGGAAAAAATTTTGGGAAATGCCACCATTTCCCCCAAACTTCCAGATCTCAGAGAACACCCTAATATTTCCTCGAAAACTCCTCTAAACCTTAGTGGAGGTCATTTGACTTCGGAGATTTTCCCAAAAACTCCCGAACTTGGGAGATTAATCTCTCTAGGGTCTGCGAGTATGTAGAAGAAAAGTAGACAGTTCAGCAACATTTTAAACAAAGCAACATGGAGGAAAAATCCGCATTATTTCCCCCATACAGATAGACATTTAGGCGCGTTTTCTCTTTATTTTCTAACGCAGTATCCCCTTTATTGGCTGCCTGAAGCTGGTGCAAAACTTCATCTCGACTGACTAGATATGTAAATAAAACGTTCAGCTTTACCCTGTAACGTAGATTGGTTACGGAATCCTGAATCTGTGCCAGAAATATTAACCTAGATATCCTATTTGGCTGAACTAAAAAAGTAAAGTGCAACTCACGTGACGCAGCAGCACAACCTAGCGCCAACAATTAAATAGGTCAACTGTTCAAGAATGAGATGGATGAAGCTACCGCTCAATACGCTTCTGTTTATGAAAGCAGTGGATCAACAAAGACTCCAGGTAAAGCTTAGGTATATTCAATAGTAAAAAGAGAAAAAATGTTGATAAATTTGTGGTAGAGCATTCTCCTCAATCCTCAAGAAAATGTTGCCTTCTTTTCAAGGACACATGGAGAGTCGCTTGGACTAACTCAGTCAGCAGCAAATTACGAAATTTGACTACTCGTGATGAAATAAGGTGTGCTTCTGGTCTGTTCTGTCATCTTTTATCGCTAACTTCTGTCCGTATTGCCTAAGGTTTGTGCTGGAATTTATGACGTTCAGGAGTTTTTGAGATGCCATAAGTCATTAGAAGGTTACTTCTGCGACTTATGTATTGTAACCATTAATTTATGTTTCATTCTCCACAACCCTATATTGTTAAAATACTTTCAATAAAAAGGTTACAAAATCATGCTAGTTTACAGGCATGATCAAAATGTTATAAATGTTACAAAATTTACTGCATTAATTTACTCAGATGAGTCAGTATGTTACAAGAAACAATCATGCTAGAAAAGGAGGAGGAAGTTCTCGTGCATAAAAATGCGGTTAATGGTAGCGAAAAGAAATGCGGTAGTTGCCATGTTTTATGGAATCTGTGTTATCATAAACAACTGGAGGTCTAAAAATAGTGTAAATCAGGTTAAAAACGGCTTGCAATAAGAATGAAGATGGCACAGGTATTAAGTGTTTGACAATGCTTTTACCAGCAACACCTTTTTATATAACTCGTTCCCACCAAGAGAAATCAAAAGACAGAGTCGAGGAGATCGGAAGAGTGTATTTGGCGATAACCAATATATCGGAATTCTCTGATATAATCTGGCTAGCGATTGCGGTAGATGTTGAGCACAGCGTTACCACACGTGATCTTATGCGGATGGATGACCGAGCGACTTCAGCTAGGTGAGTCCACTAAAACTAATCTGGTCAGCATCCAATGTCGAAAACTTACAGGGCTATTTATTTTGGGGATTTATTTACGCTACAAGAACTACAGCGGAAAAAGGAAAAAACTTTCAATCAAAAACGCCAGTCTTAACATATTACTTGGTGTAACTGGTTAGTATTCTCCAGATAACTGTTGTAACAGGTTTCTGTTAGAAGGAACTTCAAAACTTTCTCATACATTGAATATATCAAGTAAGGGGTAGTAAGGAGTCATGTTCCAAACATAAGTGTTCAACGGTGTATCATGATAACGCTGGAAATAGAGAAAAAACAAAAAAAGCAACTGATACAGTTAATTAAATAGTGAAAAAGAGCGACACAAATGGCATTTGTATCGCTTCAGATGGAGTGTCTAAAGTGCTTAGTGTCTTAAAGACACTCCATACATCAAAGTTTACATTGGTGACTTCGCTAGTAGGTTTTGGAGTCGGATCTGATTCATAAATTTGGTTTGTTTTCGTTATCAAGGTGTGAAATTGTTCACTAAATAGTCATGTAATAGATTCTGAGCCTCCAATCATTTGGTTGTTCTTAACAAATATTCTTGCGCCCTTCGCTTTGGGAAATTTAATTTCACCAAAAAATATTGGTAGGTGCAAAGCAGCCATTAGGTTCCACATCTAATTACGTGGCCGGTTTTTGTTTGGTCTCGTAACGTTTATAGACAGTTTTAACATATATACATTTTTATAAATCACATCACGATTTTGTGCTAATCACTTTGAGTCCACCTTACTACCAATGGTGACCTTGAATATTTCCGAACTTGGTTTCAGATACTTAAGCGGCCTTATTTTTTAGGACAAATGACGTCAATTAGCTCGATGGCGCGCAAACTCGTGACTGTAAAATTCAAAATTTCCACGAGGTTAAATCTAGGGTAATATCTTATAAAGTCTGTATCTGCTGAGTGCACGATTATTGTCTATTTGTACTCACTAGCCCTCATAAAAGCAACAGGCTCAAAATCGAAGGCATACAGAGATATATAGACATACGGTCCGGTTCGTATTAGCATCTTTATCTTGTCTTCCATAATAATAGATCGAATCCCTAAATTGTAATGAGACTTTCTAAACCACAAGTTGTTACTTGGCGGTCACATCATAGCTTAAACTGACCCGTAGTATTGTGACTGTCGGCGGTGTGATGTAAATTATCTCAGAAAAACACGTTCCGACTGCGGTTAAAATAATATATTTAACGTGGGGAGATGCGAGCTACACACAAAAACAACGCTTGCAAGTTCGAGCCACACCATACCGAATGGTTTTCCAGTGTTCACTACTGCTGACCTTCCGTGTCAACTGCCTAATGTGAATTTTCTCAGCTCTCTTTAATTTATTCGCGAGAATCATGTGGTTAGTACTAATACCACTACATGTTCTACATAAAAACGACTTTAGAAAAGGACTTTGGTTGAGGTTGCATTGCACGATGTGACTCATTGTGGCTAGGGATCCTTTCGAAAAGAAGTGTGTTTTTATATTTCACTTTGTTTCGAGCTCTTAAATCGATTACCATACTCTTCATAATCAATGTTCGCCCAATCGTAAACTAAAAACTCATTAGAGTAACGGGAAGAAAACACTGAAAATCCCACCACAACCTTATACTACAGAGTACAGATATCTATTTTTATTTTCGTTACTCATTTGGTGATACATACATAGTCAGTCTTCAGTCTTCAGTCTTCAGTCTTCAGTAATAAGGATAGTAGGTTGATGAACCTGTGTTAATCCTGACACATTGCTTTCCAGTGAAGGTCCAGCTTTTCCTTGAAAGTATTCACTGATGGGGCTGATACCACTTGTTCGGGTAAGGCGTTCCAATCATTGACTACTCGATGAGAAAAACGGGATCCCACTTTAAGTTTATTAGATCGTGGTTTATGAACCTTCTTGCTATGACCTCGGAGATTAATAGTGCTGGAGGGAGCAAAAAGATAAGACATATTAACACCCAAATCATAATTAAAGATACGAAATGCCAGTATAAGGTCACCTCGTGTCCTACGATACGACAAGGGGAAAAGATTTAGGCGTTTTAAACGCTCATCGTAAGGGAGTCTAGAAAGACCCTTCACTAATTTCGTTCCCACACGCTGGACACGCTCAAGGGAGTTAGTATCCTTTACCAGACACGGGCTAGCTGCTTGGATACAGTACTCTAAATGTGGTCTAACATATATGGGATATAAAATTCTAAACATTTCCTCGTCAAAAGATTTGAACGCTCGGCGAAGTGACCATAACGCACGAAAACCTTTGACAGCGGCTGCTTTGCAATGCTTAGTTGTTTTTAAATCATGACTTAATATTACTCCTAAGTCTTTATGCTCTTGAACGCATGGAAGAGGTTTACCCTCAATAGTGTAACGGTAACTATTACCGTGACCGATGTGCATTAGCACACTCTTCCTAGCATTGATTTCTAAGCCCCACTCTCGAGCCCATCTAACTAAATCGTCTAAGTCAGCTTGAAGATCCACATGATCAGCCGCACTTTTTATTGTTCTCCAGATTTTTACATCATCCGCAAACAATAATGTCGACGACCTAAGTAACAGCGGTAAATCATTAACGTAGAGAAGGAAGAGCAGAGGGCCTAAGATGGTGCCTTGGGGTACACCACTTTTGACCGGCTTCCAATCGGATAGCGTTCCGTTGACTCTAACTCTCTGTCTGCGGTCACATAAGAAATTTCCTATCCACTCATGTACAGTGCCTATTATTCCGAAGCTCGTGAGCTTCTGCATAAGACCTACGTGTGAAACCTTGTCAAACGCTTTGCTGAAATCTATGAATATCACGTCGACAGACAGACCGTTATCTAGGGCTGCTGTCCAATCCTCCCTCGCAATAAGCAAGTTAGTCAAGCATGAACGCTTGTTACGAAATCCGTGTTGCTCAGGAGCTAACAGATTGTGTAAATCTATGTGGCTTAGCAACCTAACCCGAATTATTTTTTCCAGTAACTTAACGACTATGCTAGTTAGACTGACAGGTCGGTAGTTAGATGCTATCTGTCGCTGACCGTCCTTAAATATAGGACTAACTATAGCGTCCTTCCAATCTCTAGGGAGTTGAGCGAGTGAGAGGGACATGTTGAAGAGTGTCGCAAGCGGTTTTGAAATAATGTCCGCAAGAGATGACAGCAACCGTGGATGTAACCCGTCAGGGCCCGGTATTTTACCAGGTTTGAGGTTAGTTATCAACGGAAGGACAGTTTCCTCAGTCACCTGTACAGATTCGATGGTTGGTATCTCGGTGTGAGTGGGACAAGTATTTGTTACAACAATCGTTGAGAAGACTTCGCTAAAGTAGTCTGAAAAAGTCTCAGCTTTTGCTCGATCTGATTCAGCTAGTAATTCTGAATTGTCGTGTAACAGTAACGGGGGAATACTATCACTACGTTTCATTTGCCGTTTAACATACGAAAACAATCGTTTCGGACAAGTACGGCTATCGTATACTAACTGTCGTTCGTAAGTGGTACGAGATTTGTCTATGGTTTTCTTACAGATATTACGGTATTTTTGGTACTCACGCTTAAATGGTGCATGACCTGTCAACAAGAATAAGTCCCAGAAATGTTTTCTACGTTTTAACAGCTTCCGGGTTTCCTTATTAATCCATGGAGGGCAATGTGATAGCTTACGTGCTGACCATGGGATAAACGGCGACGTTACGGACTCGAATGTAGCCTTGAACTTATTCCATTCATCTTCGATCAATCCATCCGCGTCGACCGACCAATCAGTCGAGATAGCACAGTTTCTGATTTCCGGAATATTGGCTCGCCAGATATTGGGACGGGGTGGGGCAGATACGAATTGTATACCATGTGTCCTAAACTTAAAGTGAATTACAACGTGATCACTGTTCACTAGTGGAGGAAGGTGCTGGATATCAAGGACATCCTCAGAGTGGTGGGTGAGGGCGAGGTCCAGCAGTGACGGAACATGTTGCAAATCAATATGTGTCGGTTTTATGATACATTGTACAAGTGCACACTGAATAACGGTAGATAAAAGGTCGCTATCGAAACCACTACCTGGAGCTGTAA